TAATAATATTTATAAATATCATTAGCTAAATTAAATATAATAAAGTATATTGAGTTTCTATAATAAAAACTGCTAACAATACATTTGCATCTCTATAGTAAAAACTATTTATAATAAAATTTTACAATAAGTTTGTTTTTTTTTTTTAATCATTTCACCCCAAACCACTGAGATGTGTAGGTTTAGAGAGTGTAAGAGAAACCGAGAAAATGTCATTGAAAAGAAAGGACAATAAAAGAACAGGATTCAAAAAAGACAATTAACATTGCCTGTCTATATTTCTGAGATATGGTCTTATGATTACTTGTATTATTTACATTATTCAGACTGTTATCCTCATCTTCATTGCTATATTCATGTTTTGGCTGTTGTATGCTCCGGCCTTCTTCAGGTGACTGGATCTCTGAGATGAGGTATTATGATTACTTTTATTATTTACTTTATTCGGACTGTTATCCTCATCTTCATTGATATATTCACAATGTTTTGGCCATTTTATGCTCTGGCCTTCTTCAGGTGATTGGCCCAGTGGATAAAGACGCTTGTTTGATCCAGTGACTAGACTCAAATAGTTTTGAGTTCAGTACCAGGCCCCAGCAGTGGTGAAGCAAAAAACTTGGAGAGTTGAGTTAAAGGGAAATAACTGAGACATCCTGAAGAGGCATGGCATGTAGAACTAGAACAATCTACACCAGTGGATTGACACTGCATTAAAATTTTTGAAGCTCGTAGTTTATAGGAAAGCAGGAAGACAGAAGAGTGTACAACAAGCAAGTAGTATGAAGGAACAAACTATTGGCATAAAACTTATAGTTAGATATAGCAATTTTGACAGTGAAATTACGAGACCAATTGCAAATCTGGTACTGCACTTAAATTCTTGAAGTCGAGGACCCAAAGCTCATCTGAACAATTACCATGAAAATATTTGTAGAAAAGGGACAGAGAAGCTATGTTATGAAAGTGGGAAAGTGACTGAAACCAAGATGCCAGGTCATGACAGAGAAACTTGCAGATTCTTTGGAGATTGTCAGGAATTTCTAGGTACATAGCAAAATCAAGAGACTAGATGTGGCAACAATATGCAATACACAGATTAACACAATTTATAATAATTTCTATAATCTTCTCTACAGATCTATAATAAATATCATTTGTATTATCAGATTTCTATAATAAAAATCATTGGCAATAATATATTAGTATCCTTCTGTAGTAAAAATTATTTGTAAAAATCAATTCTACAATAGAAGTCATCTAAAATTCCTTTTTATAAGACAAAAACATTCCTATAGTAAAAATCATTGACAATATATTAGAATTAGTCTTATGTACTTCTGTAACAAAAAATAATTGTCTATGCATTTCTATAATAAAAAAAACTGCTATACTACAAAAATCATTTTATTGGATTTCCGTGAAAAAAAAAAAAAAAAAAAAAAAAAAATTAGCAATTGTAATAGAAATGAAATGCAAACAGATCAGTCAATTGCTACTAATGATTTCTTCCTCTGTCAAAGAGATGATGTTTAGTGTGCTGTCTCTGTAAAAAGCCAGCATATTGATGTCTTGCCAGAACAGAGCTGGTGCAAACTCTGAAATATCTGGTTATGAAGAAAGTGTCTACTAGCTTCCTCATGATAGTTTGGACAGTGTGCTGAGCAGTTTTAGCTATGCAAATGATTCCTTTGCTAGCCAGCCAGTAAAGTTTTAGGCTCCATAAAAGCAGGCACATTTTCTGAAGAGCCAGTTTGCCATGTTGAGCATATAATGGGATCGCAGTGTTATCCAGTGTCATTTGAAAGTTGTTCATCTGTGTTTGTGTTTCCAGTGTCTCAGCTGCATTCGTCCTATATGTATGGTGTTCCCATGTAAAAGTGTCGTCTATGCCCTGACTGTCATGATCCAATGTTTGATTCTGGTGCTGTTGATTTTTCCGGCCACCTTCATTGGCAGATACCCAACAAATAAGATGAAAATCTGCGTTAATATTGTATTGTGTAATGTTATGTTGCTAACATTTGATAAGAATATAAGATTAAACTTTTCAAACATGAAATAATTTAATTGTTTATTCACTCCTGAGCTTAACATCATTTGGAAGGTATTTGGTTTTCAGGTCTTTCTTAAAACAATCAATCTTCTTTCAAGGTTTTGAGAGGCTCTCTCTTCCCCTTTGGGTAGTGAGTTTTCATATAGCTTTCTATTCTATCTGTTATTTGGTTGTTTAGTAACTAAATATAATGAACCCAACCAAAATTGGAACTTGGCTCTCTGATTAACAATTCCAAGCCGTTATCCATTACACCACCCACACATCCAAGCTTAGAGCAACTGGTATTCCCAAGCAGTCACCCATCTAGGTACTGACTAGCCTCAATGTAGCTTAACTTCAGAAATCATTTGGAAACTGGTATTTCAACGTGACGTAACTGTAAGCCTTTATTTGCTATTTTAATATGGCAAAAACAGCATATTATGGTAATATTAGCTGTTTCCTTATAAAGAAACATTAAATATTCACTGATCAAACAGCATTACTGTTATAAATTATGAAATTTATAAAATCTTGCTTGTAAAACAGTTTTTCAGGTAAATAGGTTTCTTAAGTTCAATGTTGATGGAAGTTTCTTTCCTAGCCTTTTGTTTAATGTAATGGGGAAAGCCAACATCTTGATTCGATCATTTTTTTCCCTTCTGGTTATATATGCTATCCATTTTAGTCGATGCTGTTGAAAGCCTTCAAATGATGTGGTTTCTGTTATTTGGTAAAGTTTGTGATTTTGTAATTTCAGTCTAGAAAATCTGATAAAAGGTTGTCTTGTTTAAGACAGACAGGATTCAGCTGCTTGAAGCCATTTTTTCATCACTTTTAACATAGCAAGGTTTTATTTTATTTTTTTTTAATCATTTCCCCCCAAGAAAAGCAACAATGCCACTAGAATGCAGGAAACAAGGAGTGAAAGTGAATAAAAATGGGGAAGATTGAGGAAAGAGCAAAAATAGGAATAGGATTCAGAAGATGGCAATTGACATTGCATTTACATTTTTTGAAGATTGTAGTTATCAGGGAAGCCAGAGCTAGGAATAGAGTTCCACAGGTGGGAAGTGTGAGAAAAAAAAACAAACAGTAGAAATGATGGTTGTATCTTGTTAGTTCAACAGTAAAATGATGAGACCCTTTTGCCAATTTAGTAGCACACTTAATTTCTTCTAGTTGAGGCACCAGGAAAAAAAAGCTTATTACAGTTTCCATGAAAATATTTGTAGAAAAGACAGAGGGAAGCCACACTACATTGGTGAAAAAGCAACTAGAGATGAGATGCCTGGTCAGGATCAATTGTATTGCAGACCCTTCTCTGGATTTTGTCAAGAAACTTGAGATGCACAGGAGGAGCATCAAACCAGATATGGCAACAGGATTCAATACACGAATGAATGGTAGATTTATAAATGTGAAAGATGTATTCTGACAAAAGAATTTTCTGGCACAACACAATGAACCATATCAATTGATTCAATTTAGATACTCCACTTCATGTCATTGGAGAACGTAAGGCTTAGAAGGCAGAGAGAGTGTTGCTTTCCTGGAGTTCAGCATCAGTCATCCTGATGGTAAACAGAAAAGGTTCTTTGTGGTGATTAAATGAAAGCAGTTTTGTTTTCGAGGCACTGCAATTTACAAACCATTTCTTGCCCTAGTTAACCACTGATTGAAAGTCCCTTTCAAGAGCAGTTTCCAAGTTTACTTTGTCAGATTTGTTGGACTTGCTATTAAGACAATTTGTACGTTTGTTTGGGAGAGCAGTAATTTTGTTAAAAAAGGTGAAATAGGGAAAAATCAAAACATACACAACAATATTGTAAAATCAAAAGAAAATGGTTGAATCCGTCAACACAGCAATAATAACAATATCTCCACACGTGACAGTAATTGATGTAATTTTCAGTTAACAGTATGAAAATAGCGTTCTCTAAATTCTTCCAGTTGCTAAGGACATTTTGTTTTTGTTATTAGTTACTTTGTTTAAATAAATTCATTTCGTTTTTTTGCTTTGAGAAAGTCCACATTGGATGAAACGCATCAGCAACTACTACAGTTTTCCTAATGTCATTTATATATATATATATATATATATTTCAAGCATGTTTCATTAAATAATATAGACATATTCTGTCTATTTATTTTTATAATAATCCTTTCTAGTTCTCTAATTATCTTCTTGATGCTAATTTGAAATTCATCAAGGAAGGTGCCTTTGTTTTTGTTCATCCAAGTACTTCACAATACAGGAAAATACTTGTTGACAACATCAATATACTACACAAAGAAAAACAAAAACTTCAAATTCTTGAGCCCTCTATATCAAAAGAAATCAACCAACACTGAACAAAATTTATTATGAGCACAGTGGCAATGTCTTAAAATGCATTTGAGTTCACTAACATACCTTCACTAGTTATTCCCTTTACACTGAGAATGCTTGTTTATAAAAAATCTTAACCACAACAGTTAATTTTAAAATAATTATAGCAGAGCACATTTGTGTGTGTTTGCAAAATCACTATCACAATGATTAGTTACATTAAATTTGTCTTCACAATTCACCCCAGGGGAAAAGTACTTGAGTTAACAAAAAATACAGTGCCTTCCTTGATGAATTTCAACTTAACATCAAGAAGATAATTACCCTACATACAAGGCATGCCACTAGCATTTACTGGTGGACTGCCACTACATGACTGCTGGCATGGCCATCAATGGGCCACTAGCAGCTTGTGTATAGGGTCAAGAAAGAGAAATAATTATTATAAAAACAGACATAATATGTCTATATTATTTAATGAAACATGCTTGAATGAAGATATGCTGCCTAAATATACATATAAGTCCTAAACAAATTGGACTAAACTAAAGGACAAAACATGTCACATGAAAACATTTTCCACTTTTCCATAGATTTTCCTAAAATTGTTCTTGATACATAAAATTGATATATATATTGTTTTCTCAAAAATATATATTATTTTTATTATAAGAGATTATAATAAAAACATGTTGAAAAACTTTGATTGTACTTCTTTCATAGTACTGAAACAGGAAAGCTTTTGCATAGCGATTTCAAAATGTTTTTATTATAATCTCTTATAATAAAAATATAATAGCTCTACTTTGTATTGAGCACTTTTTTAAAAAATAAATGCTATGAACAGTGGAATTTTACTACATCTGTTCTTTCTCTCATTTGGAGATTATATACATACATACATACATACATACATACATATATATATATATATATATATATATATATATATATAAAGAAATATAGTTTTAATGTGTACTATATTTATGGGATAAAGTGCTCAATATCATAGATACAGTGTATGTACAGATAGATATAAAAGTGAACATAGAAGTCAACACTCAGAGGCAACAGGCTGTTTCATGCTAGATGCAATCAGCGACCTGACGATTTTGTCTAACATGTTGCCTTTGAGTGTCGACTTCTATGTTCACTTTATTATATATATAATTATTAATAACAATCTTATAAGTATAAGAAACTATATTCGTTCGGAAAACCTTCGGTGTCTTGATTTGCAAATAATCAAAGCAATACCAAAGGGAAAAAAAAGGTATAAAAAAAAGAAAGAACCAAGAACATGTATGTCAGCCGAAAATAATCGTCTAGCATGCAAGTCCAAAGCCCAAAGAAAAAACCCCGATACGAGTATGCAAAATAACTAAATAAAGAGCTCAATACAGTAAGTAGAGCAGACCTAGTTAAACCTAGAGAGCCAGACAAATCTATCAAGGTTTCACCTAAGCTGATCGTCAGGGAAGGCTGGCTTGCCTGATGATCCGCTTAGGTGAAACATTGGTAGGTTTGTCTGGCTTCTAGGTTTTATATATATATATATATATATATATATATATATATATATATATATATGCACATAATTTTTTATGTTTCTCATTTGTAAGCTAGTAAAATTTGACAAAATCTTTAGTAATTTCACTACTTATTTTATTTATTTTAATTCTATCAGTTTAGTTTCTGATTTGTATTTTTTTTTTACCCAAGCATAAAATGAAATAACCTGAGTAATGGTCCACATTCTAATTTGCTTATTAAAAAAATTTCTTTAAATTGTCTGATATGATGTTGGAGTAATGTGTTTTTATTTTGCCCACAACGTTTGAACAAATGCATTTTCTGGCTTCCATTCTGTCATATATTATACACTTTAAAAAGTTTATTTGCTTATAAAAAAGAAATCATTAATTCTATAAATACAAAAAGGTATTTGGAATCAAGCATGTCTTTTCAGAATTTTTTTCCGACCAGATATTTAAACTGATTTCCATATTTAGAGAAATTGTTTCATTTAATTCTGATTTTTCTTTAAAAAAAAAACAAAAAAAACAAAAAACAACAGGAAATTGCTGCAGCTTTAGAGCATAAATGCAATATCATTCCCATAATGGATAACTTCGACTGGCCCCCTAGTGAGAAACTCCCTGAAGACATACGCTCAATTACCTTCTTTAATGGAGTCAGGTAAGTTGTCATTACCTAATATTTATGCTTCCCACCTTTGAACAGTGAATACGTGACAGTTTTTAATAAGAGGCTTAGAGAAAAAAATGATTGAAGGAAGGAAATAAATCAACTCTTCTAAATTAAAATAGAGGTGGTTCAGTTCTGCATAAAATAAGCTAATGAGTAAAAACTATTGTAAAAATAATTTGCAATGCAAAAAACAAGTTTTTTGCTATACCTTCCTAGAGAAAAAGACAATGATTTGCTATCCATTCCTATAGTAAAAATCATTTTCCAATGCGTTCCTAAAAAATATTTATTTCCAATGCATTCCTATAGTAAAAATAATTTCCAAATGCATTCTTATAGTAAAAACCAATGTCCGATGCATTCCTATAGTAAAAATCATTGTCCAATGCATTCCTATAGTACAAACCGTTTTCCAATGCATTACTAAAGTAAAAATCATTGTCCAATGCATTCCTATAGTAAAAATCATTTTCCAATGCATTCTTATAGTAAAAATCATTTTGCAATGCATTCCTATAGTAAAAATCATTTTCCAATTCATTCCTATAGTAAAAATCATTTTCCAATGCATTCCTATAGTAAAAATCATTGTCCAATGCATTCCTATAGTAAAAATCATTTCCAATGAATTCCTATAGTAAAAATCATTATTAGTTTCTTCCTTATTATGATTATTGATCCCATGAATTGTACAAAATCGCTTTTGTTTTTTTTTTCTCTTTCCAGATGGATCCATGACTATCAAGATGCATGTGTAGACAAGCTTGAACGATTTTTAAGAGGTGATGTCAACAGTCGAAAGGGCCAACTCCAGAGTATGAGTAACCAGGGGTCATTTGACGACCCTGTTTTGGCACAGTTTAAATGGAGCAGCAGCAGTAGCAATGATAATGGTTCACCCCCTAAAAACTCTCCTAGTTAGCTAAAGTGGGGTACAATCTGTAACAGCTCCAGGGGTGAGGCTGTGCTGCGTGTCTGTGTATGCTTGATTGTGGGTGTGATTTGCATTAGCAAAAAAATAAAAAAAATAATAAATAAATAAAATAAAAATTTTAAAAAAAGTAAAAAAAAAAGAAGAAAACTGTATAACAGGTGTGGGTGGGTGGGTGTTGCAAACAACGCTAACAATGTCTTCCTGTGTGTCTGGACAGACAGATGCCTGATATTTCTCTGTCCTCTTCACCTTGGAAACATTCTAAAAAAGCTCAGTAAAGAAAACAAACAACATTATAGACAACTTTTTCTTTTTTTTTTTTTCCCCCTCTTCCAAACTAATATAAATGTTTTTCTCACTTAAATCCTCTCGGCTGTCTTTCTAATACATATCCATGAAGGACTTGTTTGGCAGTCTATCCTATCGTATCCAAGAGATCACGGACTCAGGGGTTTTTTTTTGGGGGGGGTATGGGGCTGGGGTAACAGAAAAAATTACAGCACTCGGTGTCAAATGAAATATCTCATCAGCTAAGATCAAAGGGAGATAATCTGAGTCATATACATTTTAATTATCTAAATGTTGTTTTGAAATTAATTACAGAGAATAACTTCTCCTTTAAAGCATTCTTCGGGTATGTAGAAGTCAAGTGATTTACCTGCCAACATGGCTGCCTTCTTGTGTTTCCTTGTAAAAGCAAGCCAGCTGATTTTACCTCATTTTATAGGAGAGTGCCTAATACACCAGTTAGGTTGGTCCATTTTGCTAGAATGGACCTGCCCAATACATTTGCATGAGTGGTCTTTATTCACCCATATATTTCTCCACGAAATGACTCAAGTCAGTTGGCTTTTGGCTACCCTAGCCTATTTGTGTGTCAGACCACTGGCAAGCTAACCAATATTCTACAGGGTACAACAGGTTTGATATAAATGGATTATATGATTGAGAGTTTATATTACAAAGGAAGCTTGGATTGTTTTCCTTGAAGGACAAGATTTTCTGATCAGTTATCATTTAGGAAAAAATGTTCATGCATGAAATAAAAAGAGAGCAAAAAGCAAGGGCTGTGTTGAATAAGACAGGGGAAGCACATCTTGGGTATAAGAATGTTGTTTCCCTTAGGAGTAGGATTCACAGCACAATTGAGATATGTAACATCTGTACATACCAGATGAAATTCTACATTCTAATGGAATGTTTTAAAATATAACAAGAAAGGCAACTCTTGGATATAAAAGGGTTGTTTCAAACTTTAGTTGACATTTGTGATGGCTAGAGAGTATTGCCCAGTTTTCTGACTGTGTCATTAATTAAAATAAATAAATAAGAATAAAATAAAAGATCCTTACCCTTTAAAATATTTAAGATATCCTCATATTCTGAACTTATCTTTAAGGGATTATGAACACCAAACCTTAAAAGAGAGGATTAATATTTGAGAGTGAAATTTAAAAAAATAAAAATAAAATCTTGAAACGATGCTAAATTCAGAAAAGCTTTTGCGGTGTAAAAACAAAATGAATAAAATCTGTTTAAAAAAAAAATGTTTTTCTTTTGTGTTTTTAATTTAAGTCTGTCTTCAGGTTTCAGACATGTGTACATGGAAAGAGAGTGTAGTGGAGACTTACGTGTATGTTTTGACATGTCACAATCGAGTGTGGAAATGGTGAATTGGCGAGCTTTGGAATGAAGGCGAATTGGGCAGCACTTCATGTAGATAGAAGTGGTGGTGTCGCTTGTAGCCATTTTTATTGGCTGGTTCTGGGCACTCGTTAGCTGAGCAATGGCTAGGTCAAGTACATAAAAGCACAGTATCCTCATTCAAACAGGGTGGGGGTCTTGCTGCTGACCAGGAGTTGTATACTTAAGATTGAGAAACAGAGATAATTGTGGAATTAATTTGCTGATTAAACCTATTGGACTTGTGTGTTCGTTTAGTTAGTTTTTGTTTTTCATGTGTGCTTCCGACCAATTCTCACACAAGCTATTTTGGTGGCGACAGGTATCTCAAGGGTCTGCCTTATCAACTGTTGGTTAAGTGCCTACTGATATATACATGTGTGTGTGTGTGTGTGTGTGTGTGTGTGTGCACACAGCTACATACAGTCAGTCAGTTATGTGCTATGCATGATACACGCATAGGCAATCATGTATCTTTCAATACATGACTGACAGATTTTTCCCACAGTAGGTTGCCATTTCTTTCTGCGGTAGATCAGTTGCCATCCAAGGCTATAGAACCTGGTCTACCCTACTATTTACCCATAACTAGGGGAAGAAGAAGAGGATTAATATTTTTCTCAATGGTATTAGCACGCTAGTGAATGTAATGGACCCGACTGGAATTTGAACTCAGCTCTCTGATTCCTCAATCCGAGTCACTATCCATTACTCCACCATGCATCCACATACAGAGTGTCTCAAAAAATGTATACATACTTTTCTAGTGTATAGCTCAAGTCAACTTGTTTTCTTTTCAGATTTACTTTTTATTACTAATATCATCTGGAAGTACAAAAATGTCATCTGGAAGTACAAAGTTGGTATTGAAGAGGTTCATTCATATCCGCATACACAGCTTACAATCTCACGAATTAAAGATAAGTTTGAAGTTTATGCTACTGTACACAATGTGCATAGAACCATTTTGGAATACCACAAATATCAACAAGCCCTGTGTAGCAAGAAAGTTTTCACAAAACCTATGGAAATGTTGATTGCTGCTTGTGATTCTGCTGTGTCCCATTGTGTCAGCAATGTCTGGATCATAAAAGACAAATTTGAAAACATACAATGACACAATCTTAAGAGAATGCATTTATAATGTCTTCATAATCATTACTGAAATTAGATTTAGTTGGTTCTAGTTGCTTGAATTATTTCTTGAGAAAGCTTCCAAATGTGTATACATTTTTTGAGGCACCATGTAAATTACATACATACACATGTGTATACACACACACATACACGTGTATGTATGTGTGTGTGTGTATATATATATATATATATACACACACACACACACACACACACATATACACACAGAGAGTGATCGATGGATATACACGTCTACGTCAGGGAAGGGGTTAAACCTTATTTTTAATGGATACTCATATTCAAGTAGATGCTCCATTTATTTATTAAACAGTATATTTATTTACATCTACCAGTATGAATATTCAAGAAAAGAATATTAAAGAAAAATATGCACTCTCTGGCAAGATTTGAACCTGCATCCCTCTCAAAAGAGGAAAACCGTTGTTAGATCCGACGTACCTTAACCAAGGAACCTATGAAAATGTTATGATTCCATTGCATCGTGTTGTCAGCTATGTCTGGATCATAAAAGGCATCAGCTTAGAATCTCACAAATTAGAGATAAGCTTGAAGCTGATGGTATTGTATAGGACGTGCACAAGAACCAATCTAGGAGATTCCTGTGAAGCAAGACTGGATGATGGAAAGTAAACACAGAGTCTGTTGAGATTGGGGAGAAACACCTAACCAGTTGCTCTCCCACCAACTAACAGGGAGAGAAAGGAAAGTGACAGGTGGTAACAAAAAAAAATAACACTGACTTGGAAACGACAGCAGCTTGAGAAACAAAATGCTCAAAGGATTGACTTTGCAAGACACCATGTCTTGCCAACTGCTGTTTATTCCCCAGCTGTCATTGGCATTAGGCATCTTATAAAGACCCAGAGCTTGACCAGTTGCAGAGAGGCCCGTATCTAGACATACCAAACTGTCCTGCTGCTAAAAAGAAAAACCCAGATGTAACTGGTTTTCACAAACATGTCCACATGCGATCCAAGGCCTCTTTTGCATTTGTACTGATGCAGGTTCACCATAGAAAGTTTTCACAGAAGTCCAAGAAACTTATCAAAATGTTCTGATTCATTGCATCGTGTTGCCAGCTATGTCTGGATCATAAAAGACATAAATTTGAAAACATGCAATGACAAAATCTTAAGAGAATGCATTTATAATGTCTTCATATGCATTATTGAAATTAGATCTAGTTGGTTCTAGTTGCTTGAATTATTTCTTGAGAAAAATTCAAAATATGTATACATTTTTTTAGAGGCACCATGTAAATTTACATCACACACACAGAGGGATCAATGGATATATTATCATTTAAATTATGCAAAAATGAAAACACTGACAGCTCATTTTAACATATATTTACCAAAATTACAAGACTTGTTCAAACTCTTGATCACACCAGATTATTGTCGCTAATAAACTATCGCCAAGGTTTGTTCAGCATAGTTGCAGTATGAATCACAGGTGGGATCTGTGGGTGTTGAACAAGCTCAAATGTACCTGAGTAGGTGTCTGCAACAGGGATTGACTAATCTCCTTAGCAGATGGCTGTGTTTGGAAACTAGTAGTCAGCCATTATATATATATATATATATTTTAAAATATTGGTCATAAAAATTTCTCATACTTTTATCTTTTTTTATTTGAGATAAAAAATAAAGGGGGGCGCAATCTTGAACCTTCACGACCACAAAAACATGGAATGTCAAAAGGACAATTTTTTCCTTGACACTGCTATTATTTTAACTACCTTCACTCCTCGGCAATATTTGTTTTAAGAATTGTTTATTTACAGAAATAATTTTATACTTACAACATTCTAAAAACTAAACCAATTGTATTAAAACTAATGCAATACAATATTCAGAAATTTATAAGCATTTACTAAATTAAAATATATGAATCAATTATAATGAAACCCTTATAATTTAGCCTTCTATAAGGTTTGTTTGGTTTGTTTTGTGGTCTATCAACCTCAATGGGTCATTTAATGCTGACAAGATTTTTATTGCTGGTAATATTTTTTCTTCAAAAATGTATTGCTGATAATAATGTATTGTTGGTGAAAATTTTTCCTCAAAAATTTATTGCTGGTATTAAAACCTATTTTTACAGTTTCATAGTGTTTTGACCCCAGTTTGGGGGTTGACTATTTG